AGGCAACGGCATCACACTGCTCAAAGCTCACGCCAACCTCTTGGCCAACCTAAATTTTAGTTTTAAATAGGCAAATGCGGTTATGCTAACACCATAAACAACAGCACTCATGAACCCCACCACATGCAAGAAAAGGAGCCGAGAGGAACAGCCACTGTTCAGTTCTGTGCGTCTATCCCACAGACACAAGCACCCTAGGTGTTGTTTCTTAAGTATGGCAATACGTGACACGCAAAGACAGAATGCTCACATGACCATCTCTACTTGGTGTCTTGGGTGGGGGGGTCACACACACGGTACCCCAACTCTGAGTTCTCGCTCCAGAGAGATCTTCTGCTTAAGGCACCAGCGTTTTCCTCGGGCACGTAGCAGCTGGGTCCCACGGCTGCAGATGGATCTGCGTTCCTCTTCCAGAAATGCACATAAAGTTTCTCGTCTTGATAAAAGGTCCCTCACAATGTCTTTTCTGTCAGACACACAAGGTGTCCACTAGACTCTCAGAGAGGCCGGGCGCATGAGCAAGCCAGGGAGGGACAGAGAGAGAGAAGGAAAACAGCCATGGGCAGACCCAGGAGGAGAAGAAAGCCTCGGACCAACAGAGCAGCTTTAGAAAACCATTCCCAGACCTGCTTTTCCTGCAAAGAAAGCCTTCATCTTAGAAATTAACTCCGCTCGCGCGCCCTCTCCCTGTCTCTGTCCAAGGGGAAAAGCCACGTACAGGATATCTGCCTTTGTCAGCGAAAGAACATAACATTGACTTACCTTTCCCCACAGCTATTGTCTGTCCTCTTTCAAAATGACATCACGGAAAGCAATCATGAAATTTACATGGGGGGGTGCAGGGTGGATGGGAAGGAGAGGGAAGGCAGCTGCCTCCCTGACAGCGGTCACATGTGGGGAAGCCTGTGTGCGGGTTTCAATTAAATATCTTCTCCCCTTAGTGTGCGAACTCCTAAGCCAGCTAAAGGCGACGTCTCATTTACTTAATGACCGCTCTCATTAGCAGCAGTGGCACGGGCTGGCGGAGAGGCTCCTTTGTAAATACGCTACCCATGAACCCTTGGGGCTCCAATATATCTGTTTACTCTCCGAGGTGAAATAAATTTACAGTATAGCATCAGAGAGATGGATCTGCTGACTTGGGGAGTGAGAGGTGCCCAGGCTGGCAGAGCCCCTGTCTCCTGCTCCAAGCCTCAGCCAGCAGAAGATGCCTGCATTTGCCCACACTGATTCATAATTAATATGCAGCATGACTGGGGTTTTTTAATGCAAAACACACAAAAGGGCAGAGAGCGTCACAACTGCCATGCTCACCCCCCTCTGCTTTCTCCACCAGTGGTTCAGTCCAATAATTCCTAATAGCAGCAACCGGAATGACAGATGCCCTGGGTTAGCACGGCTGCAGCGAAAGTACTTTACAATATTTATTGGTGGTTAGGAATATGACCTACCATCATAAAGAACGGACTGCAGAATTTATTACTCAGATGAACCAAGAGGGTTACATATTGGCTCATCTGCATATTCAAGGATCAGTGACTTAAACAGATATGCAGTTTTTTAAGTGCGTAAAAGGTACTAAGGGCCACGGACCAAAAAATAAAGTCGCGCACACAAAGAATGGATCAGGAAAAGATACTTTTCTTTCATCACTTGTTTTCTTTTTGTTTTAAGTTTTAAAATAATAAAACTCTCTCAAAGAGAGCTTAGGTACTCCCTGAGACACGAGTACACTACGTCTTAAAACCACTAAGTTTATCTCAGCCAGAGGGAAGCACACCACTCAAGTTCTCTGCTCTATCTTTTTGAGTCTTTTTCAAACTGCCTGCAAGGAGCTATCCAATGAAAATCAAGAGGAGAAAAATCCATATCACACACAATAGAAGTGTCCACCCACTCTTTAAGCAACCCAATTGTCTGCTTTCTCATCTGTCAGGTTGTGATTTTTTTCCACATTCAGGGATAAATGTAGAAATTTCCTCGGTAAAAGTACCCGAGAGTCAAGGTATTCTTGCTTACTATCCAAATTCCCTTTTCTTACTGATAAATCAGGCAAATAATTGTCCATTATCATAATCAGGTTGTTAGAAACTGTACTGTGAAACACGACACAAACTGAATTTCAGACACCTGCAAAGAATGGACTGTCACCGGCCAGCGTGAGAGCCAGTAAAATTCATGGCTCAGAAGTTCAACACAGGGATTTCAACAGACAGTCAGTATCATTTCTTAGTGGGTTATGCAGGAACACAAAGACCCCAACTTAATTAGCGCTAAAGGTCTGAGGTCACCAAAAGCACGAATGAGACAGAACTAAAACATTAAGCTTTCTCTAAGACAGCATGCTTTAAAAATCATCTAAAACTCTTCCATGAGCAATTATTTCTCACATGCAGTGCTGCTTCACATTACGCGTAAACCAACCAGCTTCATCCTGAAGCAAGTCTGCTCAGTTCTCAAGCACACATCATTATTCTCAACAAATAAAACACAGAAGGTACTCAGGGCAATCTTTTAGATTGAGCAAAAGAAAATAAACGTAAGCCTTCACTGGTCAAGCCGAGGATGAAATATTAATTAGCCAAATGAGAATAGTTTGAGGCTCCTACGTTGCCTGCCTAACATTGTTTTTATTCTTCCATAGCTCATATCTGTTAGCATAGACGGACATGTTCAGTTGAGAGCTCTCCTGAAAAGCCATTTTCTGCCTCCTCTGGACACACTGTGAGTGCTGGGATATTTTACATCCCAAACCTTTGGCATTCAGAAATTCTATTAAACTCTTATCGGCAGTCTGCAGGCTCAGGCAGTCCTGCTCGCCATTGTTCCTTGATGAAGATGGGATCAAAGCGGGGGCCGGTGCTGAATCAGCCGTATTTCCCAGCAACGTTCAGTGTTTCATGGAGGTATTTCATTCATACGTGTAACAGTCAAACTTAGGGAACAACAACAAACAGACGTAACAACAGGGAGAGGTCAAAATGTGCCACAAAAAGACCTGGTGCAGCATAATTAGTTTTTCAGGTAACCGAAATTCTGTTTGAGCAAACCTAAGTCTTGCAGTATCTCACACCTCCTCCCTGGATGAGCACGGCTTCCTGAGGTGGGCAGCTCTGGTGGTCAGGAACGGGCCTCTGGACTCCACCTGAGGCTGCTCAGGGCTTGCATTCGGAACGTGCTCAGAAACTTCAAATCTGTTCCAAGAACCTAGAGAGAAGCCCTGGGAGCTCCCACTGAGCTGCTTCAGAAGATGAGTTTTGATGAATAAGGTTCAGAATCTTTAGCTGACTCCACCAAGAGAACCAAGGAGGAGTTACAGGACAGGAGCAAGTACAAGACTTTGCCGGCAAGTTGCTGAGGTTTGGCGGCTTCCTTCAGCCTGAGCAGAGGGGCGGCGGACGCGCCTGGGTTGATCAGCACTTTGGACAGCTCCCCCTCCCCCAGAGCCGGGCTTTGTTCTCCTCACACACTCTGAGCCAGGACCCGCATTCAGCAGCAGTGACTGAACTCCAGGCTGGGAGAGGCAGTTAGTTCCAGACACGCCTCCCGCCCCTGCTTGTAAGTGACAACAGCAAGGTATAACAGAGAACTTTCTCACATGGAGTGAGGACCTGTCAGGAGTTTTTTAAATCATAAAATATTTTCTTTTCTATAATTAAGCATGAAGCACGTTGTTCCTTTAAGCTTTATTTCATAAAAATCTGTGGGGAAGTCGCATGAGACTTTTAAGTTTAGGAAGATCCACAGGAAAACAATCTCTGTCTAACTGGAGGGTCCTCGAACTCCACACGGGGAGAAAAGGGGAGATTTGCAAAACCAAACTTGAGGCTGCAGCACTTGCTGAGGAAGTGCTTTGTGGGAGCTGGGGGAAGCAGGCTTAATGCTCACTTAGCTGGTAAGATCATTTCAAATAAAGTGCAATTACTTGTGCAAATCTGCACACAGACATTCCCAGTGTCAGTTCATTTGCTTCATAAAAACTCTTTCAAGTAACTTTGGTCTACACTTTCTGCCTCTGTGATTGGCGCCGCCCTCTCTGGTGACCAGCTGGGGGCGAGGGTTTCCTTGTTTCCTCTGAAAGGTCCCTGCAGATGGGTGCCCGCCTTAAAGCTGCAGACGACAATTAGGGCCGTTGTGTGCGAGCCGAGATGGTCAGCATTAATATTGTATACGAACAGCTGAGGGCGAGGGGGGTGCTGCCCCAGGCAGACTCTGGCAGATGGAGCAAACAAAACCGAGAGCCACTCTTACCAACACCCTGGGCTGACTTTGTGTGCCTGTCTCACACTCGCTGAGTTGCGAGCTTCTCTCATACACACACATGCACACACGCACACACACACTCTGGGCCACATTGTGAGACTGTTTCATGCTGAGACGTCAAACACACCCAAACCTTTGACACTGTGTGAACACACTTATATCCACAAACACACACATTTGGGAGATTTTTGTGGAGCTCACATACTAGCTCTTGCTCTAACACTGTGTTAATGTTTCACACACACACACACACACACACACACACACGGAGTAACTTTGCATGTGATAGGAACATAAGCATCAGTGCTCCAGCCAAAGCTCCTTTACTACAGTAAGTCCCAGGTGGACATCTCGGTCACACACACAAAGACGTGAGGGGCACTCATGCCTTCTCTCCACCCCACCTTCCCCAGAGCCTCGTAGCCCCTGCACCTGGACACACACTCCTGCCTGCTGCCCTCCCACCTCCAACCTTCGGAGGCAAGCCCACAGACAGGGCAACCTTGCCAGGGTTCTGCAAGCCACATGATCAGCTAGAAGGGGAGGCATCGGGCCACTTTCCAGGGCTCTGGCCTTGCTCAGGAGGGAGCATGTGTCTGTCACCTCCTTTCTGGCTGCCCAGAAAAGAGCATTGAGAGCTGATGGGGACACATAGCTAATTAATCCCTTTGGCATCTTGGCAAAAACATGTGAACAGGCCCAGGGAGGGATGCGCAGGGCTGGGGGGAGGTACGCACCCAGGAAGGTCCCGCAGAGTGTCATCCTGGCTGGGCGGGCACACCTCCACTCCGAAGCCTGGACACACAGTCACTTCATGCTGGAAAAAGTTGCTGTACAAACTTCTGTGTCCCCAGGCCCTGGGGAGTCCCCCTCTCATCCAGCCAATCGGGGCCAGGGAGCAGATGATCACAAACTGATGCCCTGCCAATGAGGCTCTCTTCCCTACACAATGGGCCCCAGGCCCCAGACAATGAGCCCCGCCTGCAGGTGGGGGGAGCAAAGACACAGCTCCCCACACTAACGGACTAATAAGTGAGGGAGGGGAGGGGCCTTTCCCGGAGAGGCTTCCCCTCCCCTGCCCACCCCTTCCCCCTCCCCCACGTTCCCCTTCCTCTTCCTCTTTCCTCCCTTCCCTCCTCACCTTCCTCCTCCCCCCAATCCCCCTCCTCAACTTTCTCCCTCCTCCGCCCCTCCCCCATTCTCCTCCCCCTTCCCCCTTCCCCCTCCCACTTTTCTTCTCTCCCTGCTTCACCCCAGACCAAGTCAGGCCAGAAACCTGATGGGAGACTAGTGAGGATGGGGTGGGGTGGGATCAGGTCTGCGGAGCCTTGGCCTCTGCCCAACACAATCATTGGCTGAGGAGGGGCAGGCCCTGTGGCCCCTGAACTATAGACTCCCCACCACCCAGGCAGGAAGCCTTGGTGGGGGGCAGGTGAAGGGAGGACCAGGAACCAACTCCCTCAGGGGTGGAGGGTTAGGAGGGGAGGGCCTCGAGGGGGCAGGGGAGAAACTTGGGTGCGGTGGGGAGTCGGGGAGGTCTTTCTGGGATGATTCCTCCCGCCTCACCCCATGTCCATGACCCTTGGCTGCCCTTCAGGGCCCTTTGGAGCAACAGAGCTTAGCCATTGCAAGACCTGGCTGGACACTCTTAGCCTCCACCTGGCTTCCCGTGAAGCTGGAAGAAGCTCCCACTCAGCACTGAGGCAACTCAGGTGTGCCCTCCTGGGGAGGTCTCCATCCCCTCCTCAGCTCTGGGTGCTCACCTGCCTGTGTGCAAGTGTCTGAGCCCAACAGGTAGAGGCCTGGGTGCAGCCTGCAGCAGCTAAGGCCCACAACAGAATCCTATATTCACTGCTTCAACGGGGGGCCTGGGAGACAAGGCTGGGCGGGGCTCTCTCAGGCTGTGAAAGGGCCCAAAGATGGACCCCTGGGAGGTGGGAGGGGGCAGATGAGGCCGAAGGCCCCTTCTGGAACATTCCTCTAGGGCAGAAGGCCTCAAAGCTGGCCCCTGGGGTGGTGGGGTTAAGAAAAGGAACTGCCAGTTCCTGTCCTCACAGACTGACCTCTGAGTGTAGCTGGAGGGTGATGAGGAGCATCCACTCAGGCCAGCGGGGAGTGCCAGGCACCCCAGACACCGTGCAAGTCGGAGGGACAGGTGTGGAGGGTCAGGCTTCACTGTCCTGGAGCCAGGAGGAGGCAGATCTGGCCAGAGCCTGGGCCATCCCCAGTCCCCTCACAGCCCCATGACTGCCAGCAAACAGTTGAATGTCTCCACGTCTGCAGTGAGGCCCCCAGTGGGGGAAGCTGGGGTGGGAAATGGACAGGCGGGGGGTCCAAAGAAAAGTGTGCCCAGAATGGAACTCGGGCTGGAGGAAGGGCCGGGCTGCTGAGGGTCTGGTGGCGGGTTTGGGGCACAGTGAGGGCCATGTGGGACTCCAGGTTGCAGCCGGAGCCATTGGATGGGAACAGTGCACTTACAGAGAGGGGGAGACTCGGGGAGAGCAGGCTTGTGGGAACAGCTCTGTGTCCTCAGGACGTGGGTTCCAGTCTGAGGCTCAGGGCCAAGATCAGGCTGGAAATAAAAGGTGAGTCATCTGCTCAGAGGATAGCAGGATGGAGGGGGGAGTGTGCTGACAGGCTAGTAAGGGTGTGGGGAGAGTGGGGACAGGGGCAGATGGGGAACAGGGGCAGATGGGGGAACAGGGGCAGATGAGGGAACAGGGGCAGGTGGGGGAACGGGGGCAGATGGGGGAACGGGGGCAGATGGGGGAACGGGGGCAGATGAGGGAACGGGGGCAGATGGGGAACGGGGGCAGACGGGAGAACAGGGGCAGACGGGGGAACAGGGGCAGATGGGGAACAGGGGCAGATGAGGGAACAGGGGCAGATGGGCAACAGGGCAGATGGGCAACAGGGGCAGATGGGGGAACAGGGGCAGATGGGGGAACGTGGGCAGATGAGGGAACAGGGGCAGATGGGGAACAGGGCAGTTGAGGGAACAGGGTAGATGAGGGAACAGGGGTAGATGGGGGAACGGGGGCAGATGAGGGAACAGGGGCAGATGGGGGAACGGGGGCAGATGGGGGAATGGGGGCAGATGTGGGAATGGGGGCAGATGAGGGAACAGGGGCAGATGGGGAACAGGGCAGTTGAGGGAACAGGGTAGATGAGGGAACAGGGGCTGATGGGCAACAGGGCAGATGGGGGAACAGGGGCAGATGAGGGAACAGGGGCAGGTGGGGGGCAGGGGAGAATGAGGGGCAGGGAAAGATGGGCAAACAGGGATAGATAGGGGGAAAACGGGCAAATATGAGGGCAGAGCAGAAGCAAAGTGAGAGAAAGTGGCCACAGACGCTGCTGGAGCAGGGTGGGAGACTCCCTTTGGGTCTGTCACTCCTTGTCTGCAGTGACTGATGTGCTTACGGATAAGTGACCTTGGGTGAGCTATCCAACTCTTCTGTGACTCAGTTTCCTCATCTACAAAATGAGGGCAACTGGGGCACCTTCCTTGTGTACCCCCAGACAGGGCCCACACGGGTGGCTGGTGCTGAGTCGTGGCTGTCGGTTGCCATCACTCACACCCCCTGGCCTCCATACCTCGGAGACCCCCAGGAAGCCCAAAGTCTCCCTCCAGCACCAGAGACCCCAGGGGCCTGCAGTTAGCAGTTCCACCTCATTCTACCTGATCGGGGCTCCCTAACCTTGGGGAAAATGTCTTCTTTGAATTAAGATTGATTATTTAAAGTAACAATGGGGGAATCTAGAAATGCTCGTGTGTTTCCTTTAACAAAACCAAATGGCTTCACGATCCGTCCAGGACAAAGCACCTGGACAAGTTCAGAGTCCACGTGCTCTGAAGGCCTAAGGGGCTGCAGGGGATCTGCAAGGCTCTCCACTCCCGCTGCAGTATGCTCAGGGACCAGCAGGAGCAGCACAAGAGGCCCAGGCCCATTCTAACAAGTCCCCCCGGTGACGTGCTGGCCCCTTAGAGTTTGAGGAGCATCTGCCTCTGGCCACAGCCGACCTGGGAGAGCTCCCTGTCTGTAGGCTGTGGCTCTCGCTGTCGAGGGCGGCGGTCAGCCCAGTCTCTCTCAGGGGCTCTATGTGGCCAGGGGACCTCCCTCCCCTTGACCAGAGCCAGGGCACCCCACCCCTCAGGACACCACGTGTCACAGCTATGTTCCCACTTGAGACTCAAACAGGCGCCGGCTCTCAGCCTGACCGCTCAAGAAACAGCTAGCACGGGGTCTGCCCTGCTGGGCCTGTCCTGGGGGCACTGCAGCATCATGGCCATGGCAGTTCAGGCTGGCACAGTTTCCGGTGGCTTTAGTTAGAGCCCCGCCCAGATTGCACCCAAGAAGGCCCTCAGAGCCGCCCCTCGGTCTCCCTCACCCACTCTGCCACTACCCGGGCCTCCCCAGGTCCTCCCAGAGCACGGTCTACAGCACCGAGGCTGGGACACCGCCCCTTCCCTCATCCTCCAAAGGCCAGAGGGGCCCCGAAGTGATAACTCAAGCCTCCGCGTGCTGCTCAGAGGCAGAACAGGGACAGCACATGGGATGTGGCCATCCTGTGGGGATGGGACAGGGTGAGTGTCCGCCAGCCACGGCTCTGAGCAGATGGAAAAGCAGAGCAGAAGACAATCCAAGGACCCATGTCTCCCGGACCTCAGGCTCTGGGTGGAGGCGGGAGCCCAACATTCCTGGGCTCTCTGGGCAGCTCTCAGCAGACGAGGAATAACTCAGGTCAAGGGGCAGCACCAGGAAGGGTAATGCCTGCATCCGGGTCACCACGAAAATCTGGAAATATCACAGAGACAATTGCAATCCCAGCCCATGCAGCTGGTATCAGGGTGCTGCCTCCCCAGGGTGAAAGGCAAGGAGAGCGATGGACTCAGGGAGTGAGTGGATCAGAGAGCGAGGGACTCAGGGAGTGAGTGGATCAGAGATTGAGGGGATCAGAGAGTGAGGGGCCACAGAGTGAGGGGCCAGAGAGTGAGGGCATCAGAGAGTGAGGGGCCCAGAGATGAGAGGATCAGAGAGTGAGGGGCCAGAGGGTGAGGAGATCAGAGATGAGGGGATCAGAGAGTGAGGGCATCAGAGAGTGAGGGGATCAGAGATGAGGAGATCAGAGAGTGAGGGGCCCAGAGATGAGGGGATCAGAGAGTGAGGGGATCAGAGATGAAGGGATCAGAGAGTGAGGGCATCAGAGAGTGAGGGCATCAGAGTGAGGGCCCAGAGATGAGGGGATCAGAGAGTGAGGGCCCAGAGAGTGAGGGGATCAGAGAGTGAGGGGATCAGAGAGTGGGGGGATCAGAGAGTGAGGGGATCATAGAGTGAGGGGATCAGAGACTGCAGGGGATCAGAGAGTGAGAGGTCCAGAAATTAGGGGATCAGAGAGTGAGAGCATCAGAGAGTGAGGGCCCAGAGAGTGGGGGAATCAGAGAGTGAGGGGATCAGAGAGTGAGGGGATCAGAGAGTGAGGACCCAGAGAGTGAGGGGATCAGAGAGTGAGGGGATCAGAGAGTGAGGGGCCACAGAGTGAGGGGATCAGAGAGTGAGGGGATCAGAGATGAGGGTGTCAGAGATTGAGGGGCCAGAGAGCGAGGGGATCAGAGGGTGAGGGGCCCAGAGAGTGAGGGGCCCAGATGGTGAGGGGCCCGGAGGGTGAGGGGCCCAGACGGTAAGGGGATCAGAGGGCCAGGGACCCAGAGAGTGAGGGGATCAGAGGGTCAAGGGCGCAGAGGGTGAGGGGATCAGAGGGTCAGGGGCCCAGAGGGTGAGGGGCCCAGATGGTGAGGGGCCTGGAAGGTGAGGGGCCCAGACGGTGAGGGGATCAGAGGGTCAGGGACCCAGAGGGTGAGGGGATCAGAAGGTCAGGGGCCCAGAGAGTGAGGGTATCAGA